TAATGAACTTTAAATACAGCTTTTTAAATTCAATAGAAGTATTGTCAAACATGAATCATAATATATATCATATATAGAAATACCCATTGGAAAGGTTGGAACAGTTCAAACCCAAGTATTTTTGTCTGTAATATAATCAGACACTTTATAATAAGCTTTCTTAACAAGAGATTTTTTATGGTCGATTTAAATTTAGTCATGCTTAACTCTTGAATATTGCTTGGGACTTTCTTGTAAAAGCGAACACAGAGACCTCTAAACGAATTATTAATTTTAAGTAGCAGGTAAATTTAACTTATTTTTATTTCTAGTATTAAGTGTATGTATTTCACTATTTTTAGTAAATAAGCAACCGTCATTATGCCTATTTCTTTAAACTTATCTCTTAAGGAGTCCTTAACTTTAAGATTATAAATTGATCGAATAGCCCGCTTGTGCATCACAAATATTGTTTGAATGTCGGCGGCATTTCCCCACAGTAAAATACCGTAAGACATTACACTATGAAAATAACTAAAGTAGACTAATCTGGCAGTTTCCATATCCATGAACTGACGTATTTTCATTACAACATATGCTACAGAATTAAGTCTCTTCGACAATTTATCGATATGTGGGCCCAAATGCAACTTTGAATCTAGTGTGATACCTAAGAATACTGTGGTATCTACAAGGCTCACATTTCGATCCTTTATATTTACATTGGTTTTTACCTGTTTGACATTAGGTAAAAATAAATTTCAAACACTTAGTTTTCCCTTCATTTAGCAGTAAATTATTAACATTAAACCAGTGGACTACCTTACAAATAGACTTGTTCACGACGTCAATTTGCGACTGCCTATGTTTAATTTTAAACAAAAATGAAGGATCATCTGCAAACAATACTATTTCATGGTTACCCTTTACAAAATAGGGCAAATCATTGATAGAAATTAAAAATAAGAACCGGCTTTTTGGGCCAGGGCCGCGCAGACTTCCTCGGGTGTCACGGTGTCATCGAGACCCGACACCCGGATATCCGCCGATTTTGTAGGGCGGGTGACCTTGGCAGCCTCGCCAAGGGCCTCGCCCGCCTTGGCCGCCAATGCATCGGCCTGAGCAGTCGTCGTTCCGGACGGGAGCTCTATGATTCTCGCTCCCGTCACCGTCGTCCGGAACTTCGACGGGCCGATGCCCAGCTCCTGCATGTTTACGGACGCCTTGACCTTGGCCAGGGCGTCCTTATAGGTGGCTCCGCCAGCCACCGCCTCCGGCTTGAGAGCCACCACCACCGCCAAGGTCTTGGGCGGCTTGGGTATTTTAGGGCCCTTGGCGGCCTTCTTTGTCTTCGGGCCCAACGTCGTGTGCGCCGATTGGACCGCGGGCTTGGCCTTTTTTGGCTTCTTAGCCACGGTGACCCAAGCCCCTTCTGTTGGAGTTACCGTCTCAGGCAGCGGCTGTGGTGCTGCTGTCATAGGCTCCTCCCTCCTTGCCGCAAGCGGAGCAGCAGCCGAGGGGCCTCTCTTCGCCTTTGCCGCCTTCTTCGCCGCCTTCGGCGCCTTCGCCCGGGCCTTTTTGGGCATGTTGGCGGCCGGGAGCAGCGTTGTTGTTGCTGCTGGCGGTTGCGCTGCCCTCTTGGCCCCAGCCGGCTGCACGGCTCCAGGTGGTTTGGAGGCCAAAGCCTTGGCGTCCGCTGCCAGTGGCGGACGGCGTGGCCGCTCTGTCGCAGGCAGCAATCGACCGTCCACCTCCAGGCCCTCTAACCTGGCCTGGAGCATATTAGACATTTGCTGGGCGAGTGAGCGCTGCATCTCCTGCATCATGTTCGCAAGCTCTACCTCGCCCCAGCATCCGCCGCCCGTACCCCCCGTAGGGGTGTCCAAAACTATCGGCGCCGCCGGTCTTTTGCGGCGCCCCTCTCCTGCCTCAGAAAAGTCCCTCCGCAGGGCTGTTAGCTCCTTGAGAACCTTACTTAATTCGTCCTGCAGGCGCTTGTTATCGGCCTGCAGGCGACGTATCTCCTCCGCCGCGTCTTTAGTCGCTAGGGCGCGAACCACCTTCATGAGGGAACCTGCGCCGTTTCGGATCTTCCGGCTGCAGGTCCCCTTTAGATTCTTGGCCCTCCTGGCCACCTCGGTCACCTCATTTGCCTTCTTTGAGGCCTCCTCCACTAGGTCCTGCACGGACATACTTCTCGTCCCAGCGTCCGACTCGCCCTCGGCGTCAGTGAACGTCTCCGTCAAGGTATCGGACGAGCCTGAGTCCGAGCCGAGCTCCCTTGCCTCTCTCCTGGCCTGCGACAAGCCGACGCTGTGCTTCTTGGCACCTCCGCCTCTTCTGCCCCCTCTCGACCGGGCCACTTTAGGCTCGGGTGCCGTCCCCGATCCCGCATCTTTGCGGAAGCTCGCCGCCAGGCTCTTCCTCTTGCGGCTTGTCACCGAGCCGGCCAATGATTCGGCCGCCGACTCTGCTCCAGTGTCCATATTAAGATCTGCCGCAGATCCGCTCGCTTCATTCTGGTAAGCCAGGATCAGGGACCCATCTTTTTTCGAGGGACCAGCTTGGCTCCTCGTCACCCTTCCCTCTCCAGGTTCTGGAGGAAACTCCTGACGCCTCGCGTCCTCTACACCCTTTCCTTGTTTCTCCCTTTCTGGCCTCTCCAGGCCCTCTCTCCCTTTCTCACTACTTCCACCTTCCACGTCTTTAGATTTTTGAATTTTTATTTGGTTCAACTTCATAACTAATCCCACGAGTATGGGGGAAATATATGGTCCACCCAGGCAGTGCCCCCTGTGCCTGGGTAACCCTATTACTCCCGGGGCGGCGGGTGGTGCCCCGGGGTGGGAAGCGCTAGTCGGTGGACTTCCCCAGCCCACCACCATAAGGCGCCTGGTACCACGCTTGCACTTGAATACCAGTTAACGGGTGAACCCGACGCTTTGGGGTTTTTTAACGAGGTATGCTCCTCTCAGGGACGGCCAACAAAGGCAGTCCCCACTGGTCCTGTGTGGTGCCGCTAGACGTGACAACGACACACACACACAGGTCTCCAGCTCGCCCGACGGTAGGCCGAAACCCATCCCCAGTGACCACACTCGTGGCCACGGCGCCGCCGCGCACGCGGACCTTGGAGGTCCGCAAACCACGCCGTCGAAACGGCCGCTGGGCCAGCCAATTAAGGCAAGCCCCGCCAACCGAGCAGTTACGCCCGGGTGTGGCATCGCCACGTGGGACCAGAGTCCCCGCGGAGCACTGTCCGCCATCCACCGCCGACAAGTCGGCCACTGATCGGCTGCCGCTACCCGGGATGCCCAGGACGCCAGCCGATCCCCCTCAGGGTAATTTTTTATAGAGGTTGTCTTCCTCGCGACCACTGCCCTCCGAAGAGAGTGGCAGCCCTCGGCCCCGCTCAGTGCGGGGTTGCGAGCTCTCCCCCAGCTCGGCTGCCGCTACCCGGGCTACCCAGGACGCCAGCCGAGACCCCCACTGGGTAATTTTTTAGAGAGGTTTTCTTCCTCGCGGCCCCCACCCTCCGAAGAGACTAGCGGCCCTCGGCCCCGCACTACGTACGGGGTTACGAGATTGTCGTGCAGTTGCTGTCCGCGCCGGCCGAAGCCGGTACCCCCCATATATGGGGGCGTGCCCCTATCCACAACCCGGGGGACGCGTCCGGTAGCGACACTGCACAGTCGCTCCCCTCTCCAACGAGAGGGCGGAAAGGATTGAGCCCTGGGGAACTCCCATCTTAACCGACGAACCAGGTGATCTTTCTCCATTGATGTCAACCCTCTGAACCCTATCACTCAAATATGATACTATCAAATAAGATCCAGAGTGGTATCTCTAAATCCATAGTGCTGTAGTTTCCTGATCAATGTTTCATGAAAAACGCAATTGAATGCCTTCTATAAGTTGCAAAACACACCAAGTGCATCATGCGAGTTCTCCCAGGCATCAAAAATTTGCTGTACAAGCTTAACACCAGCATCGGTTGTTGAGCGACCCCTTGTGAAACCAAATTGTTTACTATGCAGAAAGTTACGATTTTTATGCATTTATTTGAAGACCTTTGATTTGATTTGATGACCCTAGCCAAGAATTAATAATGCCAATGTCTTTAACTTTTAATTTCAAATCTTAATAAAAAAGAGTTTTTGTGTCAACATTTTATTATCTGCATTATTATAAGTTTATGCATCAATAGAATGTGAGATTGTAAGACATGTAGCAGATCTCACAAAACTCAATTACAATTAAATTTAATCATAGAACATACACAATAAACTTTATATTAAAATGTGAATTTTTAGGGTGGCAGTTCTTGAGTATTTTCAATGAAATACATATTTATATGATTGAAAAAAGATAATACGCTGCATAATATCATGATGTATGTAAATATGAAGAGATTTATATATAAATACTAGCTGACCCAGCGAACTTCGTACCGCCCTAAAAAAATAGGGGTTGTCCAGCGGACAAAATTGTGAATCTAAACCATTCTCAGATCCCCTTGAACACACACAAAAAATTTCATCAAAATCGGTCCAGTCGTTTAAGAGAAGTTCAGTGACATACACACTCACAGAAGAATTATATATATAAAGATTTTAGTACACATTTATAGTTTCCTTGTAGTAGAGTGACTTTGACAGTAAAGCTAAGAAATAAGAAATTTTCGAGCAGATAATGTTTAATTCGTACCTAGTAACATAAAATACTTTGTTTGATGGAAGAAGGTTAAAAAATTGGGAATTCATGAAAGATAAAGATATCTATGCATACCGCATAGCCGGTGGTATACTTTCAGACATTTGTTATCCAACATTCAGAAATTTTGTAAGACACCTCATCTACGGTCCCATTTTTCGCTGTGTTGCTGATTAATCATAACACCAAGATATATGTGCTTTTCGTAACACGGAATAACACGTAAAGGATGTAATCTTTAGAAGATTTGATCTATTTTAGCACCGACGCAATCTGCACATTACGTTAGGCAATAATTACTTACCTACCCAGTCCGATGCCAGTATCGTAGCTGCCGCTGGATCACACTTTTCTTATAAATTCACTCTACGTCACTGTTAAACTGATTTCCTAATGGAAAATTCAATATTTTCTTGCTACAGTGTCGACCGATCACAGATGAGAATGACACAATCAATGTATGACAGAGACACACCATGACATTATACTTTTTTTTCTTTTTTTTTTTTTGTTGAAGTTCTCCCGTTTTAGGGAAGGCAAAGGGAACAATGCCGATACAGCCTAGTCTTTAATTAAATTAATCTTTTTGTTTTTACATTAGAATGTCGGTGTGACACATTCTAATGTTTCTTGGAGTGTTTGGCACGAAATGTATCGAGTTGGCTTTTTCGATAAGCTTCTGTGAGGTAGTCAACACTACAATAAAATTCTCACGTTCACTTGACCGGAATAGCGTATATTTTAACGATTCCACTAATTCGTCAGTTACGCAGACGGTTGTTACACAAAACCACACCAATTTTATTTCACAATATCCACTATGAACGAATTTAGGAATAATTAAAATAAGACGCCAACCGCACTCGATGAAATCCCGCCAAAAAAAAACACATTATACTTTTTAAGATTTTTGGAGTGTCGCACTCTTAGACGACATACAGAAGACTTCTACATACATTTTACTATGGTTTGGTGCATGCAATTTAATCTATAATTACCTAGCGTTGTCTTAGAGCATTCGTTATGAGCGTTGTTCAATAAATATTTGTAGATTGATCTATCTAGTATGTTTGTTATTAGAATTAGACAATAGTGTCGATGCTGGCATGATTTTAAAAACCTAAAATTAAATTTGACAACAGTGGTCGACTCTAGCATGATTATGTAAACCTTAACTTAAAATTGACAACAATAATGTCGATTCTGACATGATTCTCTAAAGCTGAACTTAAATTTGACAACAGTGTATCCCTGTCATTCTCCATACAGAACGAAAAGGAGAGACTGATGTTAAATTTAGTTTTAAGTTTAGAGAATCACGTCAGAATCGACACCAGTGTATCCTAGTCATTCTCTATACGGAATGAAAAGGTGATAATGATGTTGATTCTAGCATGATTCTCTAAACCTAAACTTGACAGCAGTATATCCTTGTCATTCTCTACACAGAATGAAAACACCAATGGTGGCAATTCTGGCGTGATTCTCTAAACTTAAAACTAAATTTAACATCAGTCTCTCCTTTTCATTCTGTATAGAAAATTACAAGGATCACGAGGATATACTGCTGTCAAATTTAAGTTTAGGTTTAGAGAATCATGCTAGAATCGACACCATTGATGTTAAATTTACTTTTAACCTACTAGTATTATATGTCTGTGCTTTTAACTTAGAGAAGAATCGACACCAGTTTATCCTTATCATTGGTGTCGATTCTGACATGATTCTCTAAAACTAAATTTAAAGACAACAGTGTATTATGTCATTCTATATACAGAATAAAAAGGAGAGGCTGCTGTTTAATTTAGCTTTAAGTTTAGAGAATCATGCTGGAATCGACACCATTCTCTATACAGGTTGAGAAGGATAACTGTTTTTATAAAAAGTTAAAACTTCATGCAAATATTTTAAGAAAATTAGAGAAGACTCCTTATATTTTGTACTTCAACGCCCTTCAAGCTTTATTTGTATTTTTGTAACGCTATATAAAGAATGAAAATTTTTAGTTTAAAGTTTAGAGAATCGTGCTAGATTCGATAATACAGTTGTCAAATTAAAGTTTAAGTTTAGAGAATCATGTCAGAATCGACATGACTGTCTAAGCAGATAAATACATATAAACATCCATAACTTAGGTACAAATGCTCATACTAACATTTGCTCCCAACGGTTTCAAACCCGGAACCTTTGAGTGGGCGACAACATGCAACCTCGTTTCCTACATAGAGGAGAAGTACATTAAAATACAATGACAATGATAGAATGTTTACGGTACGTACTGTTAAAAGAAGTAATTCTTGTTTCACCAGCAGCGCTATCCTGTCAATGGTGTCGTTTCTGACATGATTCTCTAAATCTAAACTTTAATTTGACATCAGTCTCTCCATTTCATTCACTTTAGAGAATGACAAGGATAAGGGTGTCAATTCTGACATGATTCTCTAAACCTAAACTTAAATTCTCTATACGGAATGAAAAGGAGAGATTGATGTTAAATTTTGTTTTAAGTTTAGATAATCACGCCAGAATCGACACCATTGTATCCTTGTCATTCTCTAAACTGAATGAAATGGAGAGACTGATGTCAAATTTAGTTTAAAATTTTGTGAATTATGCCAGAATTGACATCAACGTCATTATATTAGTGCCACACCACAAGTTCTTGGTCGCACGTCACACTTGCTCGTAATACCCGGCATAATTCACCAACTTTTTTGACATTGACAGTGGTGTCGATTCTAGCATGATTCTCTAAACCTAAACTTAAATTTGACAGCAGTATATCCTTGTCATTCTCTATACAGAATGAAAAGGAGAAACTGATGTTAAATTTAGTTTTAAGTTTAGAGAATCATGCCAGAATTGGGACCTGTGTGTAACTAAAGAGAAAATTGCATATTCATCGATGCTGTTCAGAAAAAGTATCTTAATGGCGTTATAATAAAGCAGTAGTGTATAACCAACGAACTTTTAAAGTTCCTTGGTTATAACTAAATAGCTCAGTGGTTGTCACTTCCATCTGTCAAAAGCAGTTGGCGAATAGCCATGGAGATTAGATGGATGTGATCAAATGAGATTTCTCCAGTAGTGGTGACCTCACAGAAACAGGGAGAATTCTGATTTTGATTGAGCTTAATCTAGAAACTTATTAATACTTACATAATGGTGTCGATTCTGGCGTGATTCTCTAAACTTAAAACTTAATTTAACATCAGTCTCTCCTTTTCATTCTGTAAAGAGAATGACAAGGAGATACTGCTGTCAAATTTAAGTTTAGGTTTAGAGAATCATGCTAGAATCGACACCAATAATATCGAACACTGTATGGACATGGTATCATTTGCCTTGCTAATGGAAATTTAAAAAAAGTTATACCATTGACATTTTCTCTATGCAAATGGCAAATGAACAAACAGTGCGAGCCAAAAAAAAATTGACAAAGGAAAATTTGTTCGGAAGACGCCATTTTGTTACGCATCAAGCTTCCTCGCTTCGCAGCTCCAATCTTTTTTACTCAAAAAACCTACAATACGTGTAGGATAAGTTTATTGTTATTTTCCTTGGTGTGGTTAAGTGAAATCCGTCAAGCTGACATCGGGTAAGTATTGTTTTAATTATTATTTCTATCCTATCTCGTTCGCAATTATTTCGTGCAACCATTGCTATGAACGCTGCTGACTCAATTCGTCAAATTATGTATGCGTTTCAGAAACTAAAATGCCGGGCGCCGGTACTTTCAAAATCTTCGTCGGGAATCTATCCGATAAAACGACGGACGCCGATCTTAGACCGCTATTCGAAAAGTACGGTACGGTCGTAGAATGCGATATCGTCAGAAATTACGGTTTCGTGCACATGGAAAACGAACAAGTCGGCCGCGAAGCCATTCAGAACCTAAACGGAGAGATAGTTCATGGTCAAGCGATAAAAATCGAGGCGGCGAAGAGTCGGAAAGCGCCGTCGACACCGACCACGAAAATATTCGTCGGTAACCTCACGGACAAGACGCGCGCGCCCGAGGTCCGCGAGCTGTTTCAGAAGTTCGGGACGGTCGTCGAATGCGATATCGTTCGTAACTATGGCTTCGTGCACTTGGACGCGACGGGCGACGTGAACGAGGCTATCAAAGAGCTGAACGGTATGATGGTGGACGGGCAGCCCATGAAGGTGCAGCTGTCGACGTCGCGCGTGCGCCAGCGGCCGGGCATGGGCGACCCCGAGCAGTGCTATCGCTGCGGGCGCGGCGGCCACTGGTCCAAGGAGTGCCCCAAGGCGCTGGGCCCCGACCGCAACGGTTTCCGCGATCGAGCGTTCGGCCGCGACCCCTACCCCCCGCCGCCGCCGCCGCCGTTCCTCCGCGATCGCATGATGGGAGGATTTGGGGTAACGCGTTCCACTACTCACTATTGTTTGCGAATCGCCGGTTGCGCGCAGTCCGCTCCGATGCATCATGTAGGCCGAGCGCGTGGATGAACTCTCCGCACGCGGTACCTAACCCGGGCCGAAACACTCCCACCGGGCTCGATGATGCTACATTTCTAAATTACCATACTCTGTCTCCGAACCGATCGGTTCTTGAAATTTTGTTTATTTGTTGCTTTTTTTATAGCCAACGATGAGACTAATGTTCAGTTTTGGCGGGCAGGATCCGTACGATGGGTACTACGAGCGGGCGCGGTTCGAGTCGCCGCGGGACCTGTTCGAGCGCCGCTACCCGGGCGGGCGCGGGCTGGAGGTGGGCCGCGCGCGCGGAGAGTTCGTGTCGCCGCCGCTGCGCCGCGACCCGATGCCGCCGATGCCGAGCCTGCCTCCGATGCGCAGCGGCATGGGAGCCATGAGGTCCTCGTATGATGCTATGTACAGCCGCAGAAGTCCCCCGCGAGGACCACAGATGTCCCGCGGGTGAGAATTGTCGTATCACGATTAGTTTGGAACGCTACTTCTCTCTTTCGGTTTGACGATTATTTATTGGAAACGTTCGTTCACTTTCGAGACTCTTTTGAAGCGATAGTAAAAAGCATCTGTGCCGGTTGTTCTCTTTCGATTATTTTAATGACCTACCTAGTCGTAATTAAAACTTTACCTTTCTATTACAGGATGTATGAAGATTTCAGCCGTGACACGTTTGATGACAGAAGGTATAAATTATTTCATTCCGTGTATTCCTTTCTTAAGTTAGCAGGGCATCAAATTTGACGCAGCATGAGAAAAACATATTATCCCTCTCAAAGCAATGCCAAAGATGACATTTGGTGATTTGGATGACACGGTTTCTATGTCTGTTGAAGACTTTTTCACATACTGTAGATTGCTTTCTCTTCCAGTCTAGCAAATGAAGATTGATTTGTAATCATAGTAATTGCAATGTCACTGTTTTAGCCTTGAAATTTTAAAGATTGTTGATGTGGCAGAAAAAATGTCCACTCCAGCGATCCTGATCTTACTGATCTGAACCAAATCTGCTACATTATTACATGGAACCCTATCAATAAAATAGCAGTATGTACTGACAAAAGGCACTTTCATTTTACTGTGTTTTTTTGTAAAATGATGGAGTTGATTCTGGCAAGATTCCCTAAACTTAAAACTGAATCTAACTTTTCTTTGAATCTAACTAAGTCTTACTTTTCATTTCCTATGGAGAATGACAAAGATACATTGTTGTTTAGGTTAAGAGAATCCCGCCAAAATAGATATACATATATCAGTGTTAACTTGTGAGTTATCTCAAGCCTTTGTTCATTTCATAATTAATGTCTTCTCTTACAGGCCTGGCATGCGTGGACCATCTCCATCCAGAAGATACGCGCCTTATTAAGACTAATTAGTATTATAACAGTTGTACAACATTGTGTTGCAACTATTGTCAGACATTTCGTTCATAAACTTGATTGTCCGACAAATCAGATTTTTACAGACTATTTACTACAAGGTGGCAGAAGCCGATGAGTGACTGAAATTGTATTATAATTTCTAAAGTTTAGTGTGATATGGATGAATGTGCAAGAGATTTTTCTGATGAATTGTAAATAAGTGAAATAAATCTCAATTATAAGTACATTTATGTTTCATTACACCTAAAACCTAACAATGTGCTGATAGACAGATTCAGTTAAGATCATACAGGTATCAGTGGTTTCGATTTATATTCAAACATGCAATGGGCTTCATCTATTGCCCTTTAGAAGCTAACATGTTATGAAAATCTAAAAACAGAAGGGTGCGGGTTCGAGTCCCGTCCGCCGTGGATTTTTTTCTAGTATAACTTTAGATTTAAACATCTAGCAGTTAAATGCTAAAAAAATATAAAAGCAATCTAAAAACAAGATTTAATTATTGTGTTTTTTATTCTAAGTATTTAACTACTGGTACATTCATTCAATTGTGGGCTACCTACATTGCAAATAGATGGCGTTGCCTTGGAGCTTAAGAAGTCTAGAGAAAGTTCGTCAGAGCCGCGGTAGCATAATGGTCAGTGCATTCGCCCGGAAGGCGAAGGGAGCGGGTTCGAGTCCCGTCTGCTGCCTGGACCGCGTGGAATTTCACTGCGTACAATCCCCTTTACCTCCTATGGATGGAATATCTACGAGACCATGATCCATCACCACAGTCGAAAAATTAAAAAAATACAGATACTACCGGGACCAACGCTTAACGTTCGCTTCGCAGTACGGGGGAAGACGATATATTGAAAATAGCTACTTCCACGATCGCAGACTGACCAAACTTCACTACTACTCTGCCATCGAGCTCCTACTTCCATAGCATGAATGAATGAACAGCTGGTAGGCTGGAACTACTTTAATGAAATTCTGCGTGTCCCAAAATTTTTTAGAATAGATTATATAAAAATGAATAAATAAAACGTTTATTTCCTTTTAGATTCACAGCTGGACTCGACAAGTGGCGCTGTTGTCCGTAGGTAACTAGGATTCTTGTTATACAGCCCGATGTGTTCTACTACAACTGACGCATAAGAGCATATACCAAATGCTCTAAGCCCAATCACGAATTTTGACAGTTCCATAATCGTCTCGCTTCGTCAGTTTCTATGAAAACTAAGCAGCGTCTTTAGTGGACGAAATAACAAATAAAATCGATTAGAGTCTGTGCGGAAAGAGAATGGGCGTGGCGAAAAACGGAACTAACATTAAGATTTTAATTTGACAATCAAACCCAGCAATCTGTATAACGTCAAAGTTTTGTATTGATACGGATTTGTTTGTTGCTGTGCTTTCTTGCGGTTTTTTGTATTTAATCATGTCTAAAAGGGGTAAAACCTTGCAAATACGGTAGAAAAGCACTACAGCGCCCTCCAATCTAAATCCCATTCTCTTTCCGTACAGACTAACCTACGGAGCTGTAAAAAATAGCACGATACTCCATCAACATATATAAAAATTGCCTTAGATTAAAATCTAAATCCTGAAATCTATTTTTAGTGTTGTCAGCCACACATTTTACTACAAAATGTCAACATTTCTCAAACGATCGATTTTAAGCTCGAAATTAATTTATTTTCTCAGTTAACAAAAAACTTTCCTATGCCATACATACGGTATGTCATGAACTGATAACGCATCCTACGGGCTCCCGTAGGTAATGGCGTTTGGCCAAGGCCGTGCAGAACAACTGCCAGCTCTCGCTGAACCCTCTGAGATATCCAGACGGATCACCAGCTCATAAGCCGCAGTAGAAAGCTGATTTACTGGCTAAACTCTTTGAGAATGCAATGATGCCACCATCATTACCTTATTGTGGCATAACGATGCCTGTATTAAAATCAGGCAGCGAAGATGTATTCCAAATTGCAATCACTCACTGTGACTTGATGGCATCCTAGCAGTTGTTCAAAAAATAAGCAGCGGAATTGTCTCTTGTGCTTTCACTCTTGTACTCTATGGGGCGCGTGCCGGAAATTTGGAGATGCTAATAAGCAACCGGTGCTATAAAAAAGAAGTCCGCTCAAACCCGCCTAACTATCGACCAAAAGCAGTCACCTCTGTAGATATTATGTAAAGGTCTAGAAAAGGCCATTAACAAACATCTGACCCTCAACCTTGAGGAGCACTCTCTGATTACGAGCGTAGGCGAGCAATATTTTTTCCATACAAACGAGGTCTAGTCTTAGTCTTAGTAGTACGGTGGGCTGTTTCCGCAACTCGACACCCAGTGCCTATTTTGCGTGGGGATGGCATCAGTCCTGCCATCCCAGCTCCTCCAGAAAGCTCAGCAGTCCCCGGATGTTGCTGCAGGCTTCTACTAGTATCCGCGGGCTTCCCATTAGAGAAGTCCTTTGTCTTGCAACGCCTCTGCACTCCAGCAGAACATGGGCGCTCGTCTCCTCCTCCTCCAAGCAGGCTCTGCACAGAGGGCTGTCAGAAATACCTATATTATAAAGGTGTTTGTTGAAGTAGCCGTGACCCGTGAGTATACCCACGATTTGTTTCAGGGCTGGTCTAGGTAGTTGGATTAACTTACGTGATAGCTGCTGGTTTACCTTAGGAACGGCTTCCCTAGCTTGCCTGCAGTCAGTGTGTTTTGCCCAATATTCATCGTGTTGTCGTTGAGAGCGCTCCCTTATCCAGGTTCGCAGCTGCCGATAGGGTATGGGTATAATTGGCTCTGGACCAATCTCCGTCCTGCTAGACCCCTCCCTGGCTAAGCAGTCCGCCGCATCGTTACCCCTTGAGCCGCTGTGTCCTTTAATCCACTGTAGGGTCAATCTATTGTCGTTAGCAATATTAGTCAACTTCAAACGAGGTCTAGTAGAACTACTAAGGTATTATTCTATGGGTATTTTTTTTTCAATTGCCTAATTTTCGAGGAGGATATAGTCGAGAGCTAAACCTTGAATTTTGCAATTTTTATACGCAATTTTCAGCGTTAGATACTGTCTGTTGTCTTTATCGCATGGCATTTCCCAGTGCGCGACAGCAATAGTTTTTTCAAATACCTATTTCTCATGTCTCTCAGCTCGTGTCCGCTCTTAATGATCGTCAATATGCTTTAGACCGAATCGATCGACGGGTGATGGGTCTTAGAGATTGAACGTAGAATTCGTGTCCTTACGGATGGTTCACAGTTCATATCAGCGAATGTCGGCGTGCATGACTCAGGTTCTGTCTTATTTCATACACTGTTTCTGCCCCATATCAATGAACATCTCTCAGTCTCTTCTTTTCATTCTATATAAAAAAAAATCTTTAAAGTGAAAACATCTAGCAATTTCTTCTTTCAAATATTTCATACTCGTAAAGGTTTTCGTTTGACATTGTCGGTTGCCTACAATGCGAAGAGATGGCGCTGCCTTGCAGCCTGAGTGTAGGCACACACCAGGCGACACGCTACAGCGACTAGACGCGACGACAGGATGCGGCTGAGAGAGCCACCTTTCCAAGTGGGCAAGTGCCCAGGGCTCCGCGATCGATAGGGGCCCCCTCAGATCAAATACAAGTCCCTAGTTCCTGTTAACTCACCAAACGGGGGTCGTAGGGGCCCCATTATCCTAATATGCCCAGGGCCTCCAATAGGTCAAAGACGGCTCTGGCGGCCGACAATTTCATATATGTTGTTCAAAGCTTCGCACACTTGGTGTCAGAGTCGCGGAGTCGCAACGACAAGCTACCCCGAGTGGAGCGTGCTCGCTACTTGTCGCCGCGTCTAGTCGCGCTGTGCACGCGCACACACGAAGACAGTAGCACGATAGCTCTGCGTCAGTCTCGTTGTGAGCGCTGAGAAAAGTGTATGGGTTTATTTTATTGATAGAGATTAGCACCAAGGCAAGTGCAACTAGAGGCTCCATATTTACTCACAAGATGAACAACACTGCCGTCTCTCTCGATTACTCCACTACTAATGATCGCTTTCTGCACGATGTCTGTCGTTACGACTAGTTTCCAACGCTAGCGACAGCTCCGCGTCTAGTCGCGACGAAAAGTCGCCTAGTTTGCGATGTCTCTAAGAAATACTAAAAGAAATTTGATACATGGCCATTAAAACCGCGATAGCATAATTGGTCGGTGCATCCGCCCGGATAGGGGAGGGTGCGGGTTCGAGTCCCGTCTGCTGTCTGGCCGTGTGGATATTTTTCTAGTTTTTTTTTATGATTGAATTTAAATCGTCATACATTTTAATATTAAGAGATTTTGACCAGATTTCATACCAAATTTTAAATAATACCCTTGTAGATCACTGAAAAGCATAATACTATTCAGACGTGATAAATAATTCCAATTCATCAATAATATTAATTTTTTTTTCAATCTCTGCCTGGGCCAAAGCCCCCCACCTGCCCTGCCTTAAATCCGGTCCTGAATATTAAACGACCCCTTCCATTAAACTTTATAAAAAAACTATCTTCTTTTAATTGAAATTGGTGGCAAGCATTATTGACGCTATTTTTGGGCTGACGATGATTAACGTTCCCATGACTCTTTTAAAATATGATTCATTAAAAAGAAAAAGCAAAAGTAAGTCCATTAATATTTTATTGTAACTTAGCTACCAACATGTATTAGATACCTATTCAATGTTATAATTATCCTCTATATTTACACAACACTGTACAAGGCTTGTGCATTAACGCACAGTAAATGCTAACTATCGTAACACTCGGTTTGTGCGGTTATATTTACAATGAAACAGATGTAGGCTGTGCAATTATACTACAAACAATTACATAATAATTTCATTCCTAATTGTCAGTAGGTAGCGATGAGAGTCTTTACATTTTAGTCATTAATTTAAAATTCATTGAGGATTTGGTTAGTTGAGAAATTACAAAAATTAGAAGACCCTATCTTAACAGATCATTATTTTAGACAAAAACATTGGCTCATACTGGAAATAAGGCACATTTTCCATTTTGTGCAACCGAGTGCTCCGAAATATAATCCTATTGTGTATGTTAATACTACACGTGGCGAAGGCATCTCAATCAAGACACTTCAGTTCATTTTTCGTATCTAATATTCACACTACATAAGTCTTTTCTTCGTCTCTTAAGTACAATCTACGGCTATCGTGTAAACAATAAAATGCGTAAACGCCATATAATTTTGGAATCAACTTTGTACACAACATTTTTATATTCTTCGAAAGCGTCTTATTGTCACAGTATCACAACACTTTTCGTTCCGCGTCGTCTCCGAAGGGCAACGACAATAATTCACCAGGTACACACCACTCCATCCGAAATTAGGCGTCCAAGATTCAGTCTGGTGAAGTCCGGGACCACGTCTCTCTGCAAAATCGATTGTGGAGATTCCATTCGAGTCGAGTCGAGCCGCGCCGGCGAGGATCGATATAGACCCGAGTCTACGATTCACCGTCGAGAGATTCCGGGGTAGGTCTGACCTGACCGTTTCCGAGTTCAGTCTGGCATCGGTTTGAGGCGGGTCGGTCAGACGAGTTTGAGCGTGGGGTAGTGCATGCACTTGGCGAGTGTTTTCTTGATGCGTAAAGCCGTCAGCCGCACGGGCGGCGAGTGGTGCCAGCACTCGGGCAGCAGGGTGGCCAGCGTGGCCAGCGGCTCGCGCGACACCCAGCGGCCGGGGATGGGAGGGCGCAGGCGGCGAGCCACCGTAACAGCGTGCATCTGCTCGAAGGTGGGGTCGGGCGGCACCCACTCGTGGTAGGGCAGCGCGTAGGCCTCCGCCGCCTGCTCGTCGGTGGCGCAGCGCCGGCACATCTCCCACAGCACCAGCCCCAGCGAGTACACGTCCGCCGTCTTGAACGCCTCGAAGTTGGTCACGTCCAGCTGTTCGGCCAGCACCTCGGGCGCCATGTAGCGGCGCGTGCCGACGCGCGTGTTGGGAGCTATGTCCACTTCGTTCCTCTCGGCCACGTAGCGCACGGCCAGCCCGAAGTCTGCCAGCGCGCACTGCCCGTTCCGTTTCACGAGGATGTTCTTGCTCTTGATGTCGCGGTGCGCGATCGCCGGCTTGCCTTTCGTCCCGAAGATGTCCATGTGCAGATGCGCCAATCCGCTCACTATCGAGTACGCCATCGCGACGAGGCTGTTAGCGTCGAGCGCGACCGTCTGCAGGTAGTCGTGCAGCGAGCCGTTCTCGTGGTAGTCGGTGATGAGCAGCATCTGCGTCCAGGAGCCGGTGCCCTTGATGTCGGCCGCGATGAAGCCGAGGATGTTCTCGTGGCGCATCAGCACCGTCTGGTAGATCTCCGTCTCGCGGAACCAGGACGCCTCCTCGGTGGTGAAGAACACCTTCACGGCGACCTTCTCGCCGCGCCAGCGCGCGAGCCACACCTCGCCGTAGCGGCCCTTGCCGATGGACTCGACCATTTGGATCTGCTTGGCGACGGTGCGCTGCACGAGCAGCGGCAGGCCGGAGCCGGAGCCGGAGGAGACCTCCGCGGCGGGTACCGACGCAGGCGCGGGTGAGGGCGGGCGCTTGCCGCGGCGGCGGCGGCGGCACAGCAACAGTAGCGCTCCCAGCGCCGCCAGCAGTGCCACGCACAGCGCGCCGGCCACCAGCAGCGCGGGCGGGGGAGCGGGCGCAGGCGCGGGCGGGGCGGCGGGTGGCGCGGGAAGGGGGGGCCGCAGCCGCACGTTGCACATGTCCGTGTCCGAACAACACTCGATGCCCTTCGGGTTCTGGTGCGGCACCTGCGCGCTCTTACACTGAAAACGAAACGTACTCCGTTTAGCCCTGCGATTGTAGTTATAGTAGAATTAAGTTCTTAGCTGGTTTTTAGTAATGAAAATAAACATCATTTTGGAAAAAAATCAGCCGCTCATTTAAAAGTGCAAAGTATCAGCACACCGATTGCTCAAATTAACTACTTCCTAGCGTCGGCAAAGTATTCAGAATTATTGTTTGTAAAGCTTGACAAGAAAATTAAATTTCCACCCCTGCCCCGTAACATGACCACTATTTACATTATATCACGTTTTATCACGTCTAACTGTCAAACTCCAGCATCATCATCATCATCATATCAGCCGTATGACGCCCACTGCTGGACATAGGCCTCCCCCAAGGATCTCCACAACGATCGGCGCATCCAGCGTTTTCCCGCGACCTCAAACTCCATAGTATTTGACAATTGAGTGTGATAAAAACGAGTTATAATAATTATCATATCGTGGTGCTCATGCACCTACTAGGAGGCTAAGGAGACTGAATCGCTTTTAAATGCTTCATGAAGTAATATTGACATGCAGTTCTATTTGCATGTAACTCGTAACATAACTTGTTTTTCTTTTAATTTTTTCAACACACACTAGCATGACATCCGGCACTTCCTCCATGGCCACAAAGCAGGAGCCGCCCGTTTATCATACACACCTGCATGAAGCCCAACTCGTCAGGCGGCACACAGCCGGCGCTGAGGTCGATCACCACTCGCCCTACGTCGTCTAGTACCTCCTCCACGGCCGCGAAGGCGAAGCCGCCCGGTTATCATACACACCTGCATGAATCCCGACTCGTCAGGCGGCAGACAGCCGGCGCTGCGGTCGAGCACTACTCGCCCGACGTCGCTAGTACTTCGTCCACGGTCACGAAGTAGGAGCAGCCCAATTATCATACACACCTGCATAAAACTCGACTCATCAGGCGGCAGACAGCCGGCGCTGAGGTCGATCACCACTCGCCCTACGTCGTTTAGTACCTCCTCCACGGCCACGAAGGCGAAGCCGCCCGGTTATCATACACACCTGCATGAATCCCGACTCGTCAGGCGGCAGACAGCCGGCGCTGCGGTCGAGCACTACTCGCCCGACGTCGCTAGTACTTCGTCCACGGTCACGAAGTAGGAGCAGCCCAATTATCATACACACCTGCATAAAACTCGACTCATCAGGCGGCACACAGCCGGCGCTGAGGTCGATCACCACTCGCCCTACGTCGTCTAGTACCTCCTCCACGGCCGCGAAGGCGAAGCCGCCCGGTTATCATACACACCTGCATGAATCCCGACTCGTCAGGCGGCAGACAGCCGGCGCTGCGGTCGAGCACTACTCGCCCGGCATCGTCCAGCACTTCTTCTACGGCCACAAAGCAGTAGCCGCCCGGCTGCGTCACGCAGGTGCCGTTGGGCGCGCCGGGCGGGCACGCGGTCGCACCCGCGCACTCGCATGTTATGCCGCGCGCTGAAATTAACAAAAACATACTCAGTTAGCCTCCTAGACGTACAGAAAGGGATGAGCGTTTCCTAACCAATAGTCAAGTAAATAGAGCAAATAAACGTGAGAGATCGGTCGGCAGGCGGCGCTTAATATGTATTTGTCAATGTATTAGCTGTTTTTTCTCAGAATTATCACATCTATTCTTTGATAGCTTCGATTGAGATTAATTATAGTCTACAACATGTCTAAAGTCTTTATTGGTTTGTAAGGAGTTCGATAGCGTAAATGATTGTTACCATCGAGGAAATAGCGCAACTTAATGCCGGTCATAGTTTGTGACCAAAAATATACTAAGTATAGCAAGCTCCTCCGAGCGACGGAAGGCGTCTACGGTGGATTATGGCCAAATATCCCTATGAAATGATGATTTTGGATGCATCCATTTGTTGCATATATGTGAAGAGGCTGCCATAGTAGATGCCCCCAGTAATGATATGCAACCATTGTAGCCTGCAGACACTAGTGATGCAAGAGAGTATCATTTGGCGTTGGCTACTTTAATCGTAGTAAGCTCTTACATCATCCCAAATATCAGTCAAGTAGGAAAAACGCCAGGTTGGTTCCAATTTTATTATTAGAGCGACTACGAGTATATCTAGTGTTTCTTAACATTAGTTCAGATAATATTGAGTTTATTGAAGGAAGATATTTTAAATAACACGACTGCGTTATTATTCAATAAACGAATACGATCATACATCATTATCTTGTATCACAAATTTAGATAGAAGATATCGTATAAATATTATTAACGAAACATAATATTGAATGCGACATTTTCACTAGATGTCGCTTACCGCCATATAAAACAATGACCAACCTAACTTTCTTTACAGAATTAAAATTAAATAATTATAAATGCAGCATGACATATAATATGAAATAACGATTAAAAATTAGGTAAAGACATTGAATTTAGCCAATACTAAATCATTATTAACAACACTATCAGAGGATTCAGAGGTACGTAAAAGATTAATCGACTTGTGAAATGACGAGGGTGAAATCGATAGCGAAGCGATTTCTGAGAACCTGTTTCTTTAAATAGGATTCGAAAGAGTCTGTAATCAATATAGGTTAGTTTTTAACTACCTAGTGTCCACCAGCTTATATCAATATAGTTAGAATAGAATAGAAATATTTTTATTGCTCTCACAGTAATACATAGTTCAATACATAGTACAATGCGTAGTAATATAGTAGTCATTCGTACCAAAAAAACTGAATAGATGGTCTCAAAAACCCTTACTGGGGAATTGATCTGCTAATAATTATCATACAAAGCCCGAGCGTCTAAAAAAGTGGAGGAATCGTGGTAATTTTCACCAAAAGGGAAGTACTACCGCTCAGTTTCACCAACAAGTACATTTGATGAAATATAATTATAAAGTTCTAAAGAATTTATCTCAATGTGAATGAAGATAAAACCTACTGCTTCAAAAAAGATAAACACACCACTACTTGTAAAGTAATTAAAAGCTGAAAATAAAACAAAGGACAACAGTGGTGTCAAAATCCAACAATTTCTATTCATTCATACAATAGAAGGCGATTGACAAGGACAATCATATAAAAAAAGAGTCTGGGAATGGATTTACAGAAACTAAACACCAGAAATCAAATAAAGCTTTGCAAACATCTTGACAACCAGCGTTAGATGAATTGGAAAATTCGCGGAGCGTATCAATGACAACGACGACCGAGCGGTAAGCTTTAGAAACGAACGACACGAAATAACAACCCATTCAACAGGAGCAATGTTGCGTGTTATTGGAACTGATGAATTGCCCACTTCCCTGAAAACTTGTTAAACGCAGTTCCGAGACAATTTCTCTGGCTGTAATAATGACATTTAATGATGTAATGGTGCTGCTGTAGATGTAGTTTACATAGAAGTAATACTTATAAACATCACTGCCGGTATATCCGGCATTCATTATACTTTGAAATTACATCTGTGTTTAAGAAAAAATAATATTTGTACAGATCATAAAGCTAAGAACGATTGCATTCCTAAAACTGCAGTTATATATTTTTATAAGAATAACGATTGATATTGAGGCTTAGCTAAAAAACCATAACCGTTCGCTATTTCTGAGACACGAATATAAAAACTACAATATATCCAGAGCAGCTACAATGGAACGCAAGATATGCAGACAACAAAAATATAACTCATCTGGAGAGATGAACCTTCGAAATGTATTATGAGATGTTTTTTGGCACGTCGCGATCGACAGGTACATTAGCGCGCCCTTAGACGTCGACATATCATCGTCAGGTCTGCGACCACAACACAAAGGGCTTACTTACAGCAACAAAGGTGAAGAAGCAGGTAAAGTTTCGCACATATGGAACAGATTGATTGTATTATTGGTAGACAGAATTGGATACAATTTCATTATAGTTACATACGAAGAAATGAAATTTCTCCTTTATTTATGTTATTATAAATAAATGTATCAATATTATACGCCTACTGATGACTAGATGTCTTAATGAGTGTCTTAAGCAATTACAATGGATGTAATTTATACCACCGACGTACTTATTAAACGAATTCCATTAATTGTTTGAAGGCGGTCAATAGTATAGAGGGTATCATTATCCCGCAAATAGAAATTTTTATTGCCTTTCCAGTTTATGATGACAACAATATTAAATTGATAGTACGACGTGTTTATATCTTGGAAACGTATAAAATTTTCATTTTAGCTAATTATGCATTATGATAGTATACATTGCTTCATTATTTGTATGAGACAATAAAAATTTGAAAAACATTTGGAAAAAAATTAAATATTAAAAAAAAATTAAATTGCAATAACTGTAGAATAAACCAAGGAAACAATTTTGATGGATTGCTGAGTCAATAATAATATACTCATTAGTGTGTTTTAGTTATATTCCTGTGTAACTCTAATTTTTCGTTATGATTCATAGTAAACATTGGCAAGCTGTCCATATTACGTACACCAGTTTCAAAATCTGTCTTTACTTACAGAGACAGATAAACCCATGAAAAACTACAAAGACAAGAGATCATGAATAATTAATTCGACAACACTATTGACAAATCCGTTCAAAAATTTGACAACACACAAAAATATGACGGTCCAGTAAGAAACAAGTGACAGCACCCACGGATCAGTCCACACATCCTGAGCAGGCTTGAGAACCTACGAGCACAACATGTACTGAAACACAATACGACTGCAGGCGTGAAGCATAGATTTATTGTTTTAGTTGTACGTACTTAGCCTCATGATGCAGCTGAGCAATCGAGGCGAGTTCGATCCCACGTCCGCGCTATCATTTAAATATAACTTGGGACGTTACTGTCTGTCGCCCGGCTTATTTTTACACGGCGGAGATTATTGTGAACGGTGACAACGCACGGAGTCTCGCAAGGCGCAGCGGGCGCTGGGCGAGACGTGTCGTGGGGTACTGAGTGCGAGCTCGATGGGTCGGTGGGTCGGGCGGGTGTGGGACGGCACGGCGACGTGCGGGGCTCCCCTCGCCGGCCGTGCACTATGCATCGCTCGCTGCAGCCTCCACATGGCTCTAGCTCGAGATAGCGCGTGATGCACGCGAACGAGTGCCCGCCGGCTCGGGGAAGCGTATAGCGTTTCATTGATGCCAACTGTTTATACGAACTAATTGCGACATATAAACAATACGATCTTATCACAGACGGCAATAGTCGCAATGTCGCGTCGTGGCTCGGCGCCTCGTACACATTTAATTGTTGAATTTTGAAGTCAACTCAGACTTAGGTTTTATTTTAACTTCAATGAATATTACTAGCGAATGTACCAATAAAAACAAATGAACACGAAAGTTTAGGAGAACATGTAACTGGGTGTCAGTCTTGACGGATCATTAGAATTGATAAAATTGCTAATGGTAAAGATACCATATACAGAGTGTGTTCAAATGAAGTTTCTCTTAAAGCTCTCGTAGCATAATGGGCTATTACACAAGCCCTTTCTCAGTAAGATCAGTCGTCCTGGGTGTGCTGCCATTACTGACGAATTTGGTCATGCACTGCGCAGGCCTTATCTCGAATTGCGAATGCGTCGGGCATCTCTTCGAGATGTGCCATATGCGGCTCACGTGTTCGCTGCGTCACTGCACGATCTGTACCACGTCCAATTGCTGCAATCATAACGGTAAACTCGATTTGTATCGTGGAATCTCGAGGAATTAATGCATCACAAGGAACAAAACGAAAACTGTATTTGAAGCCAAAATAATATCGCAATGACACTCAAAATGTTGAATTCTTCTAAGATATTTAGTAATTCTTTTAAGTAACATAAGAATAAATAAACTTATTAACCATTTACTGTGATGAAGAAATAACAAAGCACACGGTTATATTTCTAGTGGAAAATATTTCGCATCATATGAACGATCACAAACTCATCTCCACAGTGAACTCTAAAATGCCAGGTTAGAACAGAAACGATCATGAGACAGCACTTTGGAACAATTTTGCAGTTAAACATTAATGTTGACATTATCAGACCATGACAAGAGCAAATGTTGATTTCATTTTAACAAGTAACATAGGGTCGCTCTATAAACATGGGGGCCATCTACATAGAAGAGAGCAAAGGACAGCAATGCTAATTGATCAAATTGCCTGTATTGTACCTATCAAAAATGTGTAATACAACTAGCGGGTGGCAAGTTCCTCTGCACACAAAATAATTTTCCACGCAAAGTCACAAACTTTCACCTAATTTTTCACATCCTTCCATGTTGTTTTTCATGATAAATACAAAATAGTCTATGTGCTCCTCCAGGGTCATCAAAGTCAGTTCAGCGGTTAAGCATGAAAGCTTCACAAAGAGGTCGAGGGTTACTTTTATAAAATGCATATTATCATAGATGCATAGTTCAGTTATCCTTCTAGCTCCACGGGGAATGTGATAGGGTCAGAGTAGACGACGGCATGCGGCAGCCGCTTACAATCAGTTGGACCATATGCTTGTCTGCGACGCTTCTTACATTAAAAAGGGGACAAATAAGTACCTATATTTACCATTATAATAATGTAATATTAGGGAAACTTCGAACTATAACCATCGTTTATCTAAATTACAACACATGCTCTGCTACGCCCCTTTTATCTGGTAAACATTAATGTCGTGACTATTGCAAATGGCATTTCGTCTCGATCATGCTTGGCCGGGGCAGGAGGTCATCGTAGTGAGGCGTGCGTTGCGCAGGCGTCGGCGATCTGGCGACCTCTCGGATTATCCAGCCCGATCGATAAGGAGCGCACGCGGCGCGAACGCGGACGGCGGGGCGGCGGGCCGGGAGCGGGGGGATAGGGCCAAAGAACATAATTTATTCGGCGGCAGAGTGGCGCGCCTCGGAGGTGCCGCAGTCCCCCCGCCACCCCGAACATTTCTCGGGTCCTAACAAACAGGATCCCTTCATATTTTTTGTGGACCGAGGATTAAGGAGTATCAGGTTAAACGCAGGTTACGTAATAGTTTTTACATACCCCCGAATTTTGCGTTTAGAAAAAGCGTCGTAGATTTAGGTTATTATATGATGATAGTTTCTTTTAAATTACACGTTTTGGAAGATTTCTATATCTCCCGGACACACCTGTGAACGGTATTGGTGCCTTTCGCGCGATAACATCGAGACAGTGACAATATTTGCACGGACGTTTATCTTGCTGCAGTCTTTGACTGATTACAAGTTGTTATTTTAATTTCCACTTCAAAATATGATTTAAAACATCATCATAATAAATAATACGTGATAGAAGAAAATTGTGGCCGTTTTAAGGATGAAATGAATGCATTTAAAGCTCGGAGGCTTTTGAAAGCTAATATTTTTTATTTATTTTTATATGTAATAATGTATTAGAAATACCTACATTAAATGCATCAAAACAGCAAAAGACAACATACCGTACGTTTGACACACAAACAATGATTATAATCTAAATTCATTCGTTACCAGAATTTCAGTAACATTCAACCTTTGAAAAAGAGGAATTTCAATCAATAGGCGTCCACTAGTACTGTTACAATTTACCCTTACCCTTATTTTACATCAAAATTATGAGAATCTATACATTATTGTGTTCATGTTAATTTCAATAAGTTGTAAAATACGGTTGAAGTTAAAGATGTAACGAATCTTTTCTTTTTCATTTATTTTTTGCAGTTGTTATTGATGTTCTTCTACTTCAAGGAATAACAAAGTTAACCTAATAATGTAATGGTTTAATTTTGATTCCCATTTCAACTCGGACGCATTAAATAGAGCAAACAGCATTGACGTCAGGTATATTATGTTACAATAATATGTTGTTAACCGCTGATTAAATATAGATGGTGATTTGTTAAAGATTCCACACAATAATGAAGCACCATATGGAGTTCAATGGCTCCAGATAAACACTCCTTTGACATATCAATATTTATTTAAGCCATTAACCAAAGTAAGTATTACTGATCAATATCTGGAAAATATTATAACATTTCAAATAAATATTAATAACGATCTTAATAAAATAGTGTCTGGTGGGACAATTTAAACGAACCTATATGAATGGATGCTTGTTCATCTATTACTAACGAACAAATTGATTACTAAAATTTGAGAACTGTCAAGTTGTTTATATACAAATGCGAAATTGCACTTTGGACCTTTTGAAAATTGAATTGATATGATTATTATGGATCAAAGATCTTTAAAATTTGACCTTTGTTGTAAAATTGGAATAACTAGTAGTTTGAATTTCGAAAATATTTTGAAAATTATATATGTACTAGCTGACCCAGCGAACTTCGTACCGCCCTAAAAAAATAGGGGTTGTCCAGCGGACAAAATTGTGAATCTAAACCATTCTCAGATCCCCTTGAACACACACAAAAAATTTCAACAAAATCGGTCCAGTCGTTTAAGAGAAGTTCAGTGACATACACACTCACAGAAGAATTATATATATAAAGATTTAGATTTCTTGACATCGAGAAAAACGTTGGTAAACGGCTACTTATGAAAATCCTAAGTCTACGGGAAAAACTTACTATCGTTCAGATAAAAACAAGTTTGTTTCCAGGGATACGTACATTTAAGCGAAAGTCTACCTTACTGTTTTGCAATGGTTGCAAGAATATAAGTCAGGAATCAAATTGGCTGACAGTAACGCTAGATTAACGCTCCTGCAAATATTGCAGTGAAACTAACAATTACCGCAAAACTGCCCAATTCTTCAAACTGCAAACCTTCACACAATAACGAGTAGAACAAAAGAAATTAATTATCGCAATCACCAACACCCAAGCGTCCTTCCATTTATAAAATCTTATCTTAAGGTTTATTATTAACAATAGATTAAGCTGAAAATGGAATGAGTACATTAGCAAAATTCTGATTACTAATATGTATATACGTGACGGGTAACACGGGTGCAAATAATTTGGGTTTTTCATGTTGAAAACATGTTGAGTGGAGATCGCGACTCGGTAAACGTAGTGTGGGATGCCCTGAGACAAGATGGGATGATGACATTCGTAGGCTGGCTGGAGTGGGCTGGATGAGAGTGGCAGAAAATCTGGAGCAGTGGCGTGCATTAGGGGAGACCTATGTCCAGCAGTGGACGAGCATGGATCGATGATGATGATGATGATGATGTTAAAACGGTGGCAAACAAACAAAGTTATTGCCAGCCTGATGTTAGCGGCCATCATAGCCTATAGACGCGTGCGATCAGAGCCGGACCGTGACTTAGGGGGGCGCTGGGCTAATACTATTTAGGGGCCCACCTAATTACTCAAAGTATCGAAAAAAATGAGACAGTAAAATATTTAATTTATATTATATTATGCTTTAGCATTATACTACTGTTAATAAATTGACAAATTACAAAGCAACCTTACTGCAAAGTGCAGACATGGCAAATTCTTTAAATTGCTCCTCACATTCTAGGGGTAATATAAATGGGGTTACATTCAACAATGTATTTTTTCTACATTGAATGTACTTCTAATCATTGAATCTACTGCTTTAAAGAAAATAATTTTCTTGCTTTAGTGAATCACTAGTTCAGCTTTAGGCATCTATTTTTGAATTTATTATATCTGCTATGGAAATTCAGCGATATTTGCCTGTCTGAATTTCCGATCTCTTTACTTTAATAAAAGTATGAATTCTTTCGCATTATCGTCTATTTTTGGCTTGGACTTGACTTAGCTGGGGGCTTGAATCCACGGGCCCTGGGCTGAAGCCCAAAAAGCCATATGATAGATCCGGCCCTGCGTGCGATACAAAAAATAACACTCGCGCCGTTGCCTACCCAGTACCCTTAGCACGAACCAATATCAAATTCGTATCGTTTGCGAGTCCGAAATGTCATTGTCAAATGTGTACTGATTTTTAGTTCTCGTTACGTACTTTGTGCCGCTGCTGTTCAAGTTTCCATACAAAATTTGACATTGACATTTCGGTTTGCAAACTATTCGAATTCGATAATGGTTCGAGCTAGGGGTACTGACTCCATCATCCGCTACACCATGAAGAACTGGAACATTACTCACAACACCACCAAAAGGTAGAGTTATTTTACTGTGGTCTCCTGTAAGGAGGTTACTTCCCCAGACGCCCGTCTCCAATTCAAGCGAGAAATCCGCTATGCCCTACCTCTCTCAAGTTTACGTCGATCGTCATAATTAATCACAGGTGCGCTGCGCTTGCGCAGTAATTTCAGGACTCGCTACAGATTTATGGCCTCAATTAGGGTTCCATTTGCCGCGATCTGAAATGGTGAGTATCCAATATGGGCACCTGCCAGATGTGATACATTTTGCCCATAATTTGCTCTGGATGAGACTTGTCAGGATTCTTTGTTAAGATATTGATCGATGTTTTCTACATGTTAGCGGCTGTGCATAGTGTTGATAATATAACGGATGGACGGAATGGAATTTCGTTTAATTTACCCCGTCATCAACCTTATTTCGTACGCTTATGGCGCAATTACATTTGGTCGCTAGCCCGAATACGAGTGCCAATGGAATTCGGGTAAACGACAAGTGTAAATGAACGGAGTCGAGTAGTTTTCGTTTTGGTTACCCGACACGTCTTCCAGCCCGTATTCCAGTGTAAATATTGCTTATGATACCCGAATACGATACGAGGAGCTCGATGGCGCAGGTGGCTAGCGCGTTCGGCTGCGATCGTTGAAGTTAGCAACTTTCGCAGTGGTCGGTCATTGGATGGGTGACCAAAAATTTACTATCTCGAGCTTCTCCGTGCTTCGGAAGGCACGTTAAGCCGTTGGTCCCGGCTGCATTTGCAGTCGTTAGCACCCACCAATCCGCACTGGGCCCGCGTGGTGGGTCATGGCCCAATCTCCCTATTCCATCCATAGGAAAGGCCAGTGCCCGAATACGGGCTAATTAGTCTA